AGGTGGGCAGATAGACAGGTGAACAGACAGTCAAACGACAAAGCCCATGTAATTAGAGATTTCCCATAAAGAAGTCCAGATAAGATTTTAGGGATGAGTAGGAATTACTCATCAAAGATGATAACGCTTTGTCTCTAACACTTTGTGCATGCTTTTAGGAGAGGCTATTTCTTGCAGAGGGACATAATGTTTGGGAAGGTTGAGGGTTAGCAAAAGAAAGGAAGACCCTCAAGATGGATTGACGCAGTGACTGAAGCAGTGGTCTCAGGTGTGTCAAAGATGATAAGGATGGTGCAGAATATGACTCAGGTCAGATCTGTTGTTCATAGGGTTGCTGTGAATCGTGTTGAACTCAGTGGCACCTAACAACAACAGCAACAATAATGACAGTAAAAGAAGCACTTTCTGGTGGCTTAGTGGTAAGAAATTGCTTTGCCAATGCAAAGGTGTACAATCTGAACCCATCAGGTGGTCTGCAAGAGAAGAATGGGCAGTTTCCTGTGTGATTTACTGCCTCTGAAAACCTGCTGGAGTTCCAGCTGTGGGTTGGTTCTGACATGATGGTACTGTACAACAACAACAACAACAACAACAACAACAACAACAACAAATTAAAAGAGAAAGGGGAAAGGCAGTCAAGATTAAAGGGAATCACTTTAAGTTGCTTTTAGTTTGTTTTTTTTTTTAACCACTGTCATAGAATTTAGGATACTTTTCTTTTGTAGAGAGTAGAATATCCAACCAAAAGTGATGTTAAGAGATAGGGGTGAGGATAGGTAGGGGCAAAACCACAGGGTTGCACAGTTCGGTGGGTGGAGGGAGGGGAGCAAGGAAAGGGAAATATCTGGGCAAAAAGACAAGGTAATGATGGGCAAGGTCCAATGGTGATTGAGTTTATAAAACATGATGCATGAGAATGATTGAAACTGTGTGAATGAGGAATAGTGTGAAACACAATGTATACCGACCTTTTAAGCAAACCAATTAAAATAATAATTTAAAAAACCACACCCCACAGTGTATGGGAATGATTGAGGAATTTTTGTAGAAATTTTGTATGCAAACAAATGTAAAATTTTTAAATAAAAGAAAAAAGAAATAGGCTATATAATATATATATTGCACACATAAAAAGAAGTTTCAAAATAGTGCTAATTTCAGTTGTGGTTCCTCAGAGATCTAGGTGTTTTCTCTCCTTTCCCTTTGCCATTTTCAGATAGAGGCAGTATCTTCTCTCTTCTCAGGACGACTGCTGCATCCTTAAACATCAGACTTTATAGTGTTCAGCTGTGTCCAAAGTAGGGAAAGGAGCTTTCCTGCCTGCTCTGCTGCTTCTCCTCCCCATCTGTCAGGAAAGAAAACTCCCCCCACCCAGTTTATTTACAAAATTTGAATACAAATTCGAACAAATTCTTTCAATTTCCCTCACCCTCCTAGTCATCAAGTTGTACAACCTGAGGATTAATCCCCTCACCCCCTGCACATCCACATCCCTCTGCTTCCAGCCTCTCCCACACCTCTTTGATCCTTATACTCATTCTGCAGTAATGGTTTTTTATACACTACTTATGGGGCTGAGTTAGTTTATTCAGCATAATGCTCTCCAGTCCCTCCCAAGTCAGGTAATAATTTACAAAATCGTTGCTTCTGCATGCTGCATAGTATTCCATTGTGTGAATGTACCATAATTTCTCAGTCCATTCGTTTGTGGTTAGACATTTTGGGTTGTTTCCATGTTCTTGTGATGGTGAACACCGGTGTACAAATCTGTTTGTGCCTCAGTTCTCATATTCTCAGGGTATATTCCAAGTAGTGGAGTAGCTGACTCATACGGAATTTCTATGTTCAGCTTTTTGAGGAAGTGCCAAATTGCCTTTTAGAATGCTTGTACCATTTTTACCCACCAATGGTATATGAGCGTTCCAGTCTCTGCACATCCTCTCCAACATTTATTGCTTGATGTCCTATGCCACTACATTTGGGGAGAGATGATATCTCATTGTAGTTAGGATTTGCATCTCTCTTTTTGCCATTGATTTTGAGCATTTCTTCATGTGTCTGTTTGGCCATCCGTACAACCAGGAGAGGATAACATCAATGAGTGGGACCTTGTAAAGATTAAGTCCTTGTGTGCATCAAAAACGTTTTCCAATAGGGTGAAAAGAAAAACCTATTGACTTGGGAAAAACCCCCAAAACATTTGGCAATGCTATTTCAGACAAGGGTTTCATAACTAAAATTTACAGAATACTACAGGCCTTCTACAAGAA